CTCCAGGCAGATGGGGCCAGGCCCCCCCGACCCCACACACCCCCACACACCCCCAGGGCAGAGCGCGTGGGAGCCTGCTGGATGCAGGGGGTGGGGGACGGCACGCGAAGCCAGAGCTCCTAATGCAAAGCGACAGCCACCGCAAACACCTGCCCACGGCCGCCCGGGGAGACGGGACGGGGCTGGGGGCAGGGAAGGAGCTGGGGAGCAGCTGAGCCTCAGGTCCTGGCCTTGCTGCCCCCCCTTGCTGGCTTGTGGGGTCCCCGGGGCAGCTGTGCAGGCTCCAAGGCACCGCCCGGGTGCAGGGGGGGGAGCTCCCTCTGGATGCCCCTGCTCTGCTGTGAGGTCTGACAGTCTTAGATCCCCCCAGTGTGTCCCAGAGCCCCCCCACCTGCCATCAGCAGGACCCCCACACCACAGCACTCACTGGGATGCCTCCTGCGGTCAGTTCAGCTGCTCCATGGTCCCCGCGGCAGGAGAACGAGCACCTGGAAGCACGTGGAGATGACGAGAGGCACCAGCCTGACGGTACCCGGTGCTCCCAGTGCACAGCAGCGAAGGGCAGAGCCCCCCACACCAGACCCTCCCTGTCCCCTGAGCCCACTTCCCCCACCTGGCAGTGACTCAGAGGCATTTGGGGAAGTGCCCCAGGGAAGTCAGGGCTTGCAACACCCATGGGGGGTCACGAACATCTCTCTCGCGCCCACGTCCCCAGAGGCACCAGCCCACACTGCTGTGCATCGTAGCTGCAAAGCTGCTCCCCCCCAGAGCTGGTCGCATTTCAGCTGATGGGTCTGGCCATGCCTGCTCCCTCCCTCTTCCTGCCTGGGCGTCGGGGCTGCTGGCTTGGCTCCTTGCACGTCATGCCGCCCCACCCCATCGGCTCCCGGTTCCTGGAAGCTGACAACTCACTTCCCTGCTGCTGGCCGGTGGCTTCCCCCCTCCAGGAACTCTCCCCAACTCCATGTGCCAGCCCCATGCCAGCCCTGGCCGGATTCAGGCCCAGCCGGACTCTGGCATGTTGCGGCGCTGTCTGGCTTTGCTCGGGGTGATGCTCCAAGGGGATGGGGGCAACCCCCAGAAGTCAGTCTTGGTCCCCCGGCAGCCCCCAGCTTTGAATCCAGGCTGCCTGGGCCCCGATCCTGAGAGCAGAGATCGGGCACTGGGGAAGGCTGGCCTGGAAGTGCTGCCAGGTCGGGTCCGGAGATGCTCATGTCACGGCCCTGCTCTCGAGGGCAGCCTGCGGTGGCTGGGGGGACGCAGACCCCCGCTCCCCAAAGGCGTCTCGGGCAGCTGGCTAGCAGGGCCAAGCAGGGGCCTTTGGGCCAGAGATCGGGAGAGGGGTCTCTGGGGCAGACGGACCCAGCACAGCCCAGGGGAAGCCGGCCGCATATCAGATCTAGGAAGAATTTCCTTCAGACACCCCTGCATCCACCTCCTCCCCCCGGCCGGCCATTTCCTCGCTCCCCCGCGGCCAGACAACAATGAGGATGGAGAGAGACCCTGTGGGACCGGACACGGCAGAGCGGGGCCCGGAGCCGGCCCCTCTCCCAGCGGGGACGCGGGCCTCACACAGCTGCCCCTTGCGGACGTGCCCCCTTGGCCAGGCGGGCATGGGGGCCTGGGGGAGCCGGCTCTCCCCTTCCCACAGAGAGAAAGTTGGGGGCCGGACGGGGCATTGACCTCTGCCCTCCAAGCCCGCAGGCTGCAGCCACGGCGAGGGGGCTTCGGCCACGCAGAAGGGCAGCCGGAGGGTGGCTTGGTGCACGAGGCACCAGGCAGGGCCTGATCCTGGGGTTAGGAGCCTGGCAAGCTCTACCCTGCTCCCACGCTTGCACCCACGCCCCCTTCTCCAAGAGGGGATGATGCCCCTGAGTCCTCCCCGGCCCAGCCGGGCTCAAAGCAGCACAACCCCGGAGCAGACGGGACGGACGCATTTCGACCCAAGGCACCGGCTCTTCTCAGCCCTGCCCGCACTTACCCCCCCAAGCCCCTCGCAGCACCTGGGACCGGGCGCCGGGGTCAGTCGGTGGAAGCTGGCGCTGCAGCCCCGGGAAGCCGCTGGCCAGTTTATTATAGTCCCACTTCCGCTCGCCGGCTGCGGGCGCTGCCTGTTCTCGGAATGGAAGAGGAAGGGGAGCGAGGCCACGGGTCAGCGCCACCGCTCGCAGCGCCTGCTCCGGGCACGGCAGGAAGGGAGGGCCCGAAACGGCTCTTCCCTCAGCCCGTTCCCCCCGGCACGGGGCGGGCTGAGACCTTCCGCCCTCCCTCGCGCCAACCACGGCTGGGTCGTGGCCTGGGAAATCGTCGCCTCCCAAATGGTTGGGTTGGGTCAGCCTGGGCCAGAGCGTGCCAGCTTCCAACGAGCTCCCCGGCCCCGCGGCAGAGATGCCGCGGTCCACCGGGTATGCAGGCCGTGCCGGGAGGCAGCTCGGCGTAGGGCGAAAAGGGCGTCAAACGCAGGAGGCTTCAAACCAAGCTTTTGGGGCTCAAGAGCGTGCCTTTCCCACCCGCGGAGGAGAATCCGGGACCAGCCTTGGCTACGGGGAGGCTGCCTGAACAGGGGGGCTCTGGGCATCCGCGGGCAGAGCTGGAGACCGAGCGAGACAAAGGGAAAAGCGATCCATGTTTTCTGGTGGACTGAAAAGCCAGAAAGGATTTGGTTGAGTGGGGAGAGGAGGACGGGGGTTGAACCAAAGGCTTCGTTCCCCCCGGGTTGAAGCATTTTGCTCCCATTTCCAGCGTTTTTAGCTTTTAAGAACCAAACTGGGAAGGAGGAGGATGAAGAAACAGCTGCTCCCACTCCAGAATAGCCACGGCCAGACTTTCCCCTAAGCTTTCTGGGGAAAATATTGGTCCAGCTACATGTCCCCACGCTTCGTGGCCCTGGCCCCCCGCGGCGCTCTCCCCGGGACCTTGCCCCGGTCGCAGGAGCTGGCATCTCCCGGACAGAGGGGACAGGATGGGGCCAAGGCACAAGAGGGATGCGGTGAATGGCAACACACCGGACGCGGCTGCTGGTATCCAGGGCCTTGTGCCTGCCCCCCAGCTCGCACGGCCCTGCAGCAGCCTGGCAGACGCGCACCCACAGCAGCGCAGCCCTCGCCCGCAGCACCACGGCGAAGCGAGGAGTGTCTAGGGTTGGGCTCCCGGCACAAAGCCCCTCTGTCGAAGGGCTGCGGGATGTTCGAGTTTCAGACTGGGCTTTGCAGGAGCTCACCCCCGTGGCGCTGCATGCAGCACGGCCACACTGACCGCAACCCCCAGCGCAGAGGAGCAAGGGCTGAGTCGCTGGAGCCAGAACTTGAACCCGTGACCCTAGCAAACACAGGCCTGCGGATGCGGGGGCAGGCTCAGAGGGACGAGGCACCTGCGAGAAGCCATTAGGGCACGGGAGGGTGGAGACAACAGCAACACCCCTAGTCCAGGTCCATGGGAGAGGCCACATCCCCAGCCCCCGGTGCTGCCCCATGTCCCCAGCCCGCGGGCACGGAGAAGCCCGCTGACGACGCAAGTGCATCAGAGCGCACGGGCACCACAGTGCCCCAGCCCTGCGGCCACTGTCAGACGCCGGCAGCCCCGGACAGGCACAAGGGCGGCTATTGAGCTGCAACGATGCTCTGTCTTCCTGGCCCGGGGCCAGGCCTGTCCTACAGGCACCCATTGTCTGGGAGGGCACCTCTGAGGCCTGCCCCCTCTCGCCCACCGCCAGCCTGCTTGGCCCTAGCTGGGGGAAAGGGGAAGCAGGTTTCCCCCTGGCAGGAGCTGCGATGAGAGGGGGCCCCTGATCAGAGGAACAAGGGAGTGGGTCTGGGGGCTCAGGGGAGCATCCCCCGGCAGGCAGCACCCACTCTCTGCCGATGCCGCCAGGCTGCCTTCCCCCAACCTGCCCTTTGGCCATGTCTCTGGCATTAACCCCCTTATTCTCCACCCCCGCAACCACCCAGGATCTTGAGCGAACGCGAGGCACCTCTCAGGGTGGTGGGGGGGGTTGCATAAAGCTTTGCCCCAGCACCCCTGCAAGATGCACGGTGCAGCCCAGGGTCTGAAGCAGGGGACCAGGAAGCCCAAGTTCGGCTGCTGACGTGCTGCGTGGCCCCAGGCTACCTGTGCCTCGGTTTCCCTTCCTGCCCCTGAGGACTGGGTCCCCTGTATGTGGGGGCCTCTCCCCATGCCAGGGGTCGCTGACCCCCCTGAAAGCCCTCAGTCCAAGAGACGGCCCCTGGAGCCCCATGCAAAATCCCAGAATGAAACACGCAGGCACATGATGGAGACCCGCCAGCGGCAAACCGAAGCACCAGCCCTGCGCATTTGCTCACCCCTCGCCCCGCTGCAGCCGTCCGGATGGGATGCATCAGGTCCCCTGCGCCCAGGACATCACGCCAAGCAGCTTCCCGGGGGCATCCCCCGAGCTGGCCGGCGGCTGCAGCTAGCGCCCCTCTGCCGTGGCCATCAGGGCCTCGTGGCTTCCCGGCAATGCGAGGGAGAGCGCCTGCCTCTGCACAGACACCGGGAGGGCGGGGAAGTGTCACCGCCACTTCCGGGGGGGCCCGGAGATCTCCCAGCCTTGGCCTGACCAGACCGAGGTTGCGAGCAGCAGCTGTGTCTGGGAGGTGACAGCGGTGGGGGAGGAACTGCAGAGCAGCTCGGTGCAGAGGAAGATTTCCCCTCTCTGCAGCCATCACCACAGCCCTTGCAGCTTCCTCTGCCGTGGCGCTGGCTTCTCACTTAACTCTTTCCTCTGCACACGGCCACCCACCCCGGGGCTCCGGCATGGAGAGGTGGGGGCGGGGAGGGCTCTCGCAGAGCCCCATGCACGGGCTTGTCCCCCGCGCCCAGAGCAGAGCTCGCTGCAGCGGAGACTAGAAGCCTTCTGCCTGCCCGGGGCAGGGGCAGGCTGCAAGCATCTTCACTTGCCTGGCAAAGGTGCCAGGGAGCATCACTGAGCCGGGCTGCAGAGGAAGCCTGCTCCACTGCCCCGGGCAGCTGGGGCCTTCCAGTGCATGCACACCTGTGCTGGCCAGGTGGCCGTGCACCTGGGACCCCAGCCAGGCTGGGTTGGGGGCTGAGAAGGGGAGAGAAACCAGCGGTGGCTTGGAAATCAAAGGAGATGTGATGGGGGGGTCTGCTGCTCCATGCCAGAGAGCAGGCGGGTGCTGCGTGGGCTCGGGCTGGGCGCTGTGCTGTAGGTCGGGCCAGGCTGCATGCACAGGGACGATGGGCCACGCAGGGGAGGCAAAGCCGCTCCGCACCGGGCAGCTGGGGCAGGTGCAGCTCGGCCGTGGCCTTGAGGCTGCTGCTGGAGACGTGCCCAGCGGCAGAAGAGGTCGGCGGGTCTCCCTCCAGGCCTGGAGCGCAGCCAGGCTCCGAGCAGATGGCAGCTCCTCAACCGGGCACGGCTCTGCCAATGCCCCACCGCCCCGACCTGGGGAACGGGCATGAGCAGCGCTCCCTCCCCACCGCCGGCGGGGCTCTGCAGCCAGTACGCTGGAGCGTTCGCCCAGCAGGGCCTTCGCCGAGGTTCGGCAAACTCATGTCACCTATGCCAGGCCACCGCCCCCGCCAGCCCCTTCCCGGGCCGGAGCCATCTGGCCACCCTGTTCCCTCTGCTCTGTTTTAAAGCATTTCCGAGAGCTGCCCTGTGCTGATGCAGGACACGCAGCTGAATCAGGAAGCTGGCTGAGCGGCAGCAAAAAGCCCCTCTCCTCCCTGACATGAGCTGCCTGCAAAGCAGCCCTCAGCCCCGGTCTCCCTGCAGCCTCCCTCCTCCAAAGCAAGTCCTTTGCCACCTGAAGCCAAGGTCTGCATGACACCTGAAAACCACCCATCCTATCTGCCTTCTGTTTCCCTCCACCCGTTGCCTTGCAAGGCTCAGGGAAGCAGAAGTGGGGGGTTTCCCGAGTTGCCCCGGGATGAACGGTGCCCCCACAGCACAGGGGGACGAGCCCTGAACGCGGGCAGCAACGGCTCGGCGGGGTTTGAAAGGTTTCCCTTTCTCCTGCCGCACAACGAAGTGCGATAAGCCTTGAGCAGTGAAAATAGCCCGGGCACTTGCAGCTTGCGGCAGGGCTGGCGTCTAGTCAGCTTCCTTTTCCGCTCCCCGGCTCGGACCCGAGCGCTAATGGGCTCTCGGCGCGAGCTAAAATACCAGGAGTCGGCGAGACCTGGGAGCACCGAGGAGAATCGTCCCCTCTGCGGTTGCAGGAGGCGGACAGACCCACAGCGGAGACCCGTGTCCCCAGCCAGGCCCCGTGTCAGCCAAGTGAGGCTAAAAGGGGGCTCAGCCCCCACGGTTTGGGGCCCCCAGAGCGCCCTGAACGGCCAAAGGCAACAGCCCAACGCTTGACACTTTCCCCTCCAAAAGAAATCCCCTCCAAACTCCAAGCACCCCATGAGCAGACGACTTGACAGAAGGGGCTTCGAGCCAGTCAGCTGCCAGCCGAGGAGTCCTGGCTCCCGGCCGTCTGCTCGCTAGAACAAACCCTGCTCGCGGCCGCGCTGGTGTAAGGTTCATGCCACCATGCCAGCATCCCGACCGGGCTCCAGCTTTGCACCACCGAGAAAGGAAGATGTAGCCCCAGCACCTGGGGGCATTTGACACCCAAGCCTGGGAACAGGGCCAAGCTCCCACCCTAGCTCTTACAGGGATGTGCTGCAGAAGGCCAGGCAAGTTCCTGTGCCTCAGTTTCCCCGCCTCGGTGCCAAAGGAAGGGTCAAGGTGCGCAGAGGCAAACCTATACCCAGAGCACAGGGGCAGCCCCCACCCAAGGCGAGCTGAGTGCATGGTGCCTGCAGAGGGAAGAGGAAGCCATGTCCTTCCGGTCCAGCACAGGCATGGTGGTGGGAGGAAGCTGCGTGGGCCCTGGTGAGGCAGGCTGCAGGGCCCGGGAGAGGGGGATGCCATGGCTGGCTCCAGCCAGGGAGCGGGGCGGCGGGTGAGGGGCCAAGGGGAGCGGGGAGATGCAGCCACAGGGCTGACCAGGGCACATGCCAGCATGGTGCCCCTCTCCCGGGGTAGGTCAGCATCAGTGCCCCCTTCTAACATCTGGGGAAACTGAGGCACGGGGTGGGAAAAGCTCCCCATCCCAGCACAGGCAGGAGCTCAGGGGCAGAAGCTAACAAATTCACCCTCCCAGTGCCGTGGGATGTGCGGGTACCGGAGGGCAGAGGCACGGGAGATGGGGCAGCGCTACAGGCTGTCCCCTGGGCCCCCAGACCCCGCAGCCATAAGAGCCCCCATGAACGGAGGCCGCAGTGGCTTTCTCTGCTCCGGAAGCTCAGCGAGCTTATGATCACACCTCCCCAGGCCCCACATCCTCTGCTCACCCGGTTGCGCATGAGTGAGGCTTGTCACAAAAGCCTTGCGAAGACCCCCCCGTGGGAGGCTGAGCCGGGCCGGGGGGCTCAGAGCATTGCGGGGAGGGAAGAAGCCAGCTCTCCACCACCAGCCATGGGAGGGAGGAGAAACTGGGCCGAAAGGGAGAAACCTGGAGCATGAGGGGCCAACTGGGTGCAGAGCAGGGGCTCTGCACATACAGACCCGGTTTTGCCCGCTGCCAGCAATGCCACCAGGTCGGGAGTGGGGAGCGTGCCCCTTGCAATGAGACTGGGGGAAAGAGCTCCGAAAATTCACAGGGAGAGGCCGGAGCAACAGGAGCCATGGGGGCGAGAGACCCGCTGCATCCGTGGGGGAGCAAGACAGGGCCGGTCCTGGGGCTGTTTGCAATGAGGGCTCTGCCGCCACGACCCACGGTGTTAGGAGCCACACGCCCCACAATCCGACTGAGGTTCATTTACCCCCACATCACTGCTAGATCCCGGCCTGAGCTTGCCTCAGCGGACAAATGCGTCCCCCGTGGCAGGGAGCAGCTTTGCGTTGCTTGGGAACGATGCCTGACGGTGCCCCAGGCAGCTGCCCCTCTCCCGGCAGTCACCCATCACACATCTGGGAAGCCCAGCAGGTCACACAACCAGGCCCGTGCATGTCTCACGTGGTCCCCCCGTGCCCACAGATCCCACCGG